CATATGCTAGCATTATTGAAGGAGTCAATTTATGAACGATACAGAAAATAATAACCAAGAATATATATTATACAAACAGAACAGTTAATCTTAATAACGCCAACAATTCTACTTAAAACATTCTGCATGAAACTGTTTCAGCTTTATAGCATTTCTGAAGTGACATACGAAGAATAATAGCGAGTTCGCAAAGTTTTGTCTGCGACGCAGTCATTTGTTCTACTGTCAGTCGCTTTCTGCTTCAAAGATCGAGAGGTCCCTTTTCCTTACAATCGAAACGCCTTGACTAAGCGCAGTGTGTTCGATCAGTATGACATTATCGGTCGTCTACCGATAAGACTCTTATGAATAATCGCCATCAAAGAAATATTACTGGTGATTTCTGATGAAATTGAGTTTTTTAGTACTTATATTCAGATTATACAAGAATATTTATGCGAAAGACTAATATGGGCAAACGAGAGGGAAGTTGGTGTAGTTTGCATGTACTAATTTGATGTTTCATTGATGATCTTGCGATAAAATACTGTGGCCACACTGAATTCATGTCTCTTTTATTGTAATTTTCAATAAAAGAATGCAAAAGATGTCTACAACACCTGGGATTCCCAGGCCGTCTCCGATCCAAGTACTAACCAGGCCCAACGTTGCTTTACTTGACAGGTCGGACGAGATGTCGTGCTTTCAACGTGGGATGGTCGTAGACATGTCACTCACTGTCATCTCCTACTATGATCTATCCTATCACCGGCGAGACACTCATTTGTTGGCGGTAAGTAAGTCTTGATGGGCAACTTCCCGGAAACAAAAGTTTGTGGTCCGAGAAAAGTATGGTTGCAAAGTTGAACCTTAGAGGAACTGACATAAAGGCACCTACAGTACCGAAGCCTGCGGCTTAATTTGACTCAAAACGGGAAAAGTCTAAAAAATAAGCGTGTGCTCAGCCTTCACATATGGTTGACTTGAATAATTTAAAAATTCTGGTGGGTGACCATTGTAATCATCTGTTATTTTCCTGTACTACGAATCTGGTGGTGCTGCAGGGAGTTACTAATATAAGGAAGTAGTGCAGTAGAAAAATGTAGCGTTGGGAACCATTGCGGCAAGCACAAAATCCTTTACAATATCTTGCGATACGGATCTCCTGTGGCATTTATCCAGTACATCTACGCATATCATTTATAAATACGATTACGGTAATATAATACTGATAATCCCTGTTAAATATTGATCAATTACGAGTCGCAATAGCAATAGATGACATTGGACAGACTTAACTTAAATGGGAATACGACGGCACACACAAATGCATGCACGAAAGTGCACTACCCAGTAAGAAGTAAATACTCGCATACGTAATCCCACTGATTACCTACCGATCCCTCATCAACATCCCCGTCACCAGTGGTTGCACGATCTTCCCATCACACCCACTGACGCTCTACTGCCATTCGTACTGTATGCGCTCCCGGATACCCCGAGAACGCGAGCCAAAAAATACGATCCGCCTTAGTAAATTCTACTTAGGTGGAGGATCCCAGAACAGTTGTTCCGAGCTATACCCAAATCAAATTGGGCACGTCACAAGACTAAGTAAAAACTTCAGTGCTAATACACAGTAGGATGTCTGATGAATGTTAAGAAATTACTCTCATGTTCTGCTCAGTATGTTTCTTTATGATGTCTAACTATCACATTTCTCTTCACTAACCAACAATATACCACAAATCACTTGATTATTAGCGAAATGTGCACTTTTACCTCGAAGCTTTCTCACTTCAGTCTCACTTTGGGGATAAATTAATCTACAAATCAACATTGAAGGGCAGTTCAAAGAGAAGCATTGTGTGAGTATAGCTGCAGTAGTATAAATAAGGTGTTATGAGTGATCGCAAATAACAAATAACTTTATTGATTATTCCTTATTCTGTTTTGTTACTTTTATTATTAGTAAATTAGTTTAGCAGTTGATTTTTTCACGTTCGTAATTGTATGCTTTTACCTCTTTTTTTGAAAAGCAAATTTTTTCAAGTGTTTTTAAAGAGTTATTGATTTGCATGTGCATATGTCAACTGTAGTTCTTTTATGCTATCGGTGGTTATTTTATCATAAATATAGGAAACACGTTTCGTAATTGAGGTCAGAACCTACGAAATGAAAAAATGAGTATGAAATTGAGCTAGAAAATTGTACATAATGTTTAATTCAATTATTGCAAAGAACAAATTATCGCGGAACTTTTATTGATTTAAGGGTATTGTTTTCGGTCTAATATTTTCTTAATCTTATTTGGTTTTTGACTTGTACGGCGATGACCTCTACTTATCCTCATTGATGCTTAAATGGTAACGTAACGTATCATTCATAACTTCAAATTTGTGTGATCGAATTTTGTATTGAACTGTTGTATTCATCTTATTCATTAATAGTCAATTTCTTGCGTTTTGATCTGACAAATTCAGGCGATTACAGATTACTATTTTTTATTGTGTTAACATAAAGGAAATGATATATAGTGATTTAAGCATGGAAATTTTTTATACAGGTTAGTTAATGAGCATACGGAAACTTCAAAAACTAGTTGGAATGGCAAGTCTGCAAAATACACGAGAAGTGTCACTAAGGGCAAATACGAAGGAAGTGGAACCGCCGACTTTGTACGAACCATCATCGTTTGACAATCTGACACTTGATTCTTTTTACACCTTACTTAATATACAGTTGGATTCTGTGGATTTTGTACCACTTGAAAAATTTCACAGTTTTGCGCATAAGAAAGCACGACTATTCGGCTTTAAAGTAGTTGACAGGTGTCTTTTTTAATCTTTGCATGTGTATATGTGAACATCTTCTTTGACATTTTTGGATTCGTATTTTAGTAATGTCGCAATAGTTTTTTTGTAAATGTAAGATAAAGAAATAATTTTAATTTGTGAAAATATTTTTGCTTGAAAACTTTAATTGTCAACCTTTTAAATGTAAAAATGAATGAAATGAATGTATAAATTTTTCATATATTTTAGTTATGCGGTTCCTCCTACGAAGACTTTGCTCAAGCTTGATAAACCAAAAGAAAGCAAGCAAATAAAGGAAATCGTAATACCAACTTATCATCGATTCTTGCGATTAAGTAAAGTGCTAACATTGCGTCTCCCATTATTTGTACATTTTATGCAGGTTTATTACATTTTATTAATTAGTAAACAATTTCGTTAAATGTTTTCAGTTGTATTGAAAAAAACAAATATTATAATCTCTTCAATATTAAAAAAGTTGTCTATTTATTGCATCAAGTATGGAGCTATTTTTGATCACCATAATATATATATAAATTCTTCAAATTATGTAACTTAACAAAAGATGAAAACATTTGGAGGAGATTTTTGAAAACTTTTTTATAATCATTGCTTTCTATTATTAGTAAACTGTAACAATATCCAACTCCAAAAAATTTTTTAGGTTTGGAAGCATGACATTATATTGAAACAGTAACTTTTAGGAATTTCAGTACTTACACTGCATATTGTTAAAAGAGTTCATGAGAAAACTTGTTTAAAAATAGTATTTCATTATTTCTATTCTAGTAATGCTGAATAATTACAAATTTTTCGTTTTCTATAAATAGCATTTTATATCTATTTGCAGATTCATGCTCCAGCTGGCGTGAAAATGACTATAAGGGAATATAAGGATTCAGACGACGAAATTAGGTACATACCAGATGATATTTTGGAAAGCCGGAAAGCAGAACTCCTTAGTTTAGATGATCCAAAAACAAGGAAATTACTTGGCTGGGAATAAGCTCTTATTTGTTTGTTCTGATAGTATTTCTATTTTCCTTAAAACAGAAAAATATATATCGAATTTGTTAATTGATAAATTCATGAGTACACAAAGTTACAAGTTTCAGATAGTGTATAAATTTTTTTTTTAAATTTGTGTTTGTTTTATTCCATTATAAAATAGATAAAAAATATCAAGTAGACTCAAGCATAAGAAAGCATTACTCAAAAAATATCAAATCTGATTAGAAACAAAAATTCTTTACGCCGCCCAAAAAATTATCAGAAAAAATCCCTATCTCTTTCATTAATGTTTTCTACTTTTTTTAATAGAATTTTGCAGACT